GTGAGAGGGGCAGAGGGCGGCGGTGGTGAGCAGGGGAGGGGGCGGCGGTGAGAGGGGGCTCATTTGCTGTCACAGAGTCCCTGATCATTAAAGCTCTCCCAGTCTTCTTCTACTGCTGTGCAGCAGAGTCAACTGTGGTGCCACAAACCTGGCTGTTGTTGCTTTCCCCTGAGAGGCCATCCTCCCAGCAGTATCCAAACTGGTATATCTGTTTGAGACAGGAGATTCCTGCACTGCCCGCCCTTGCTTACTGGTCTTTCTGGAGGTCACCCAACACTTTGCCTGTGTGGCCCGTACTTGTGGTGAGACCAGCTCGCTAAATGTGTTATCAACAACATTCTTGGCCTCATGGATGCTCCATAGCGAGTCCATCTGCAGCTCCAGCCGCCCCATGCAGCTAATCAGGAGCACGTGCTGGATATTCAAAGTTTCAAGGAGACGTGATGAAAGTATGAAAATGGAGCTGGAATCAGATGACTGGAATTCTTGATCCCATTCTGGGTCCACATAGTGCAAATTAAGGGCGAGTTCTGGTTTGGATCTGAACCTGCATCATGTTGTCAGTTAAATCTCCTTTGGAATCTTGGCTGATAGCCGAGTTAATCCTTTGGATGTTGAAATGGCTCAGCTATAGAGAAAACATTAACAATTCTAGCTTTCCAATCATTTCTAAATAATGTTTATTAACTCAAGACATGAAGGCTCAAGTACGTCCAGTTTCTACTTTTGATACATTAAATGGTATCAATGATTGACATCTTTACTGATCTGTCAGTAAAGGAGGTTCATTTGGAGGAAATCAGAAATTACGAGGGGCTTTCTTTTTTCACGGAACATTTATTTTTAGAAATGCATCCTATTGTCACTGTAGGGTCCATTGGTTCTACAGTGTACAGTGGGTGAAAGGGCATGAAATGCCATAGCTTGGCACAGACTGTACGAGGGGTCTTGTGGGTAGGAACATGAGGTGGCATAATGGGGCTTGGAGGTGGTTAGGTGGTATTAAGGACGATGGGTTAAGAGGGTAAAGGACGAGAGAGCCTTAATAGTTTAATTATGACTTCTTGGCACTCATTGAAGCCTCCACACCCATCTTTCCAAGGACAGTAGGTCTGACTGTTGCTAGCACCCACCTCTAAGAAGGAAAATCTCATCCATCTCTACAGGCATTTCCACCCAATAAAGGGATGCATTGCTCGAAAATATTCTAGATCTTGCTGCCCACCTGAAGCCAGCCCATAGACATGGGGGGAGAGCCAGAAACAAGTGCTATCGTTCAGTGTTAACCACTAAGCAGGATGTTGGTGAGAACTGGTTGTTGTTTGAAGATGAAGCACTTGGTTCTCAAGGAGACTCAAGACGGAGAGGAATGATTTTCTACAGACAATGAAAGGCTCACTTTGGCACAGTGGGAAAAAGGGAGCTTGCGAAATAACTGAGAGGAACATGTAAGTTAATTTTGAGAATCTTCATGACTGTTAGAAGCAAAATATAAAGCGAAGACCTTTTATAAAGAATATCTTGATTGTGAGTAAGTAGCTCTCCATTTGTATTAATTGCCTGTGCGCTGCTTTCAGCTTATTTGTTACTGTGAAAGTCTTAAAATCTGAAAACCTGCCCTGCAATTCTTTCTGTAGATCATTGGGAAATTGATCTCATCTTTAAGTTACTGGTTTGTGGGGAAATTGTAACAATAAATGTCAAAAATATTTTAAATAAATAAACATACTACAGATGATCATCATTGTAATACTGTATGCAATTCATTCCGACACAGCTGATATTGGCTCCCTCTAGTGGCTTCCCCAAACACTGCAAACTTTTGCTGTTTTCACTTGAGTCCCAAAAGACATATTTAAGCTCAAAGAAGGTTGTACGTAGAGAAACGCTGATAATTTTCCGAAGTGTTGGTCCAATGTCACTTTACGTTTACACGGAAAATTAGTAAAAAGGTCAGAGATTTGTTACGATGCTGGAAAATAATTGATTTAGTCAAACGTTTGTATCTATATAGACAGGAAGGAAATTTTAATCATATAAAGTCATAGAGCTGTACAGCACAGAAATAGACCCTTCGGTCCAACTCATCCATGCCGACCAGATATCATAAACAAATCTCGTGCCATTTGCCAGCATTTGGACCGTATCGCTCCAAACCCTTCCTGTTCATGCACCCATCGAGATGCCTTTTGAATGTTGAAATTGTACCATCCTCCACCACTTCCTCTGGCAGTTCATTCCATATACAAACCACCCTCTGCATGAAAAAGTTGCCCCTCAGGCCCCTTTTAAATCTTTCCCCTCTCACCTTAAACCTATGCCCTCCAGTGTTGGGCTCCCCCATCCTGGGGAAAGGACCTTGTCTATTTACCCAATCCATGCCACTCATGATTTTATAAACCTCGATAAGGTCACCCCTCAGTCTCTGAGGGTTCCAGGGAAAATAGCCCCAGCCTATTCAGCCTCTCCCTCTCGCTCAAGCCCTCCAACCCTGGCAAAATCCTTGTAAATCTCCTCTGAACTCTCTTAAGCTTAACAACATCTTTCCTATAGCAAGGAGGCCACAATTGAACGCAGTATTCCAACAGTCGCCTAATCAATGTCATGTACAGCCACAACATGACATCCCAACTCCTATATTCAATGCACTGACCCATAAAGGCAGGTGTACCAAATGTCTTCTTCACCACCCTGTCTACATGCAAATTCACTTTCAAGGTACTATGAACCTGCGTCCCAAGGTCTCTTTGTTTGGCTGCACTCTCTGGGATGTTACCATTAAGTGTTTAAGTCCTGCTTTGATTTGACCTACCAAAATGTAACACCTCACATCTAGATTAAACTCCAGATGCCACTCCTTGGCCCATCGGTCCATCTGATCAGGGTCCCGTTGTAATCTGAGAAAACCTTCTTCACTGTCTACAATGCCAACAATTTTGGTGTCATCTGCAAACTTACTAAACATACCTCCTATATTCACATCCAAATCATTGATATAAATGACAAAAAGCAGTGGACCCAGCACCGATTCCCACAGGACACCGCGGGTCACAGGCCCCCAGTTTGAAAAGCAACCCTTCTGTGATGCTGCTTGGCCTGCTGTGTTCATCCAGCCCTGCACCTTGTTGTCTCCCTTCATCACCACCCTCTGTTTCCTACCTTATCGCCAATTTTGTACCCAAGTGGCTAGTTCTCCCTGAATTCCATGTGATATAACCTTGTTAACCAGTCTACCATGCGGAACCTTACTGAAATCCACATAGACAACATCAATCCCTCTGCATCCATTAATCTTCCTTGCCACCTCTTCAAAAAACTCAATCAAGTTAGTGAGACACGATTTCCCACACACAAAGCTGTGCTGACTATCCCTAATCAGTCCTTGCCTTTCTAGATATCTGGAAATCCTGTACCTCAAAATCCCCTCCAAAAGCTTACCCACCAACGATGTCAGGCTCAATTGGTCTACAGCTCCCTGACTTTTCCTTATCTCTAGCTGAAGAACAGATATGGTTCCATTTGCTGCACGTACTACAATATAGATAGGATATAGTCTGTACCTGCTGTGTTCTAAATAAAACGAGCAGCGTAGAGGCTGAAAGGATTTGAAACTCGGAAAGATGTAAACTCAGTGAAACATGTAAATTGGTATTTGTACTTATGGTTTACACAAGCATGGGCTGCATTAGGATTTAAAAAGAGGACCAGATCTCCTTTCAATTCAGATTGTGCAGGGATAGGGAGCTGGACGATGGCACTGTAGGACTTGTACTATTCTCTGATAACTGAGTCAGTCACAGCTAACGAACCAGGCCGTAAGTTTAGCAGGTAATTTACTATGAATGCAAGGCTAAGCCAATCCCTGTAAGAAAACTGCTTCTAAAAACACTCGTGTGAATCACAAGCAGAGATCACATCACGAGACAAAAAACTGTTTGTTGCGACAGTAATCAGTAAAAGAATCGTTCATCAGGGCTTATTAGATTTGCCTCTCTGTTGTATTTGGAACCAGATCAGGATAATTCAAGGTTTGTTTCCTGGTCTACAATAAGTTAAAAGGCTGCTACAATCAGCTTCCATGTCTCCAGGTGGGGCCGGGAGGGAGCGGGGTTGGTGAGGAGGAGTGAAAATACCCTGTTCCTATTCGCAGCACACAGCTGACTGGTCAGGAGAGGCTGAGGTTTGTCTGTGCTGCTTCCACAGCTGAACAGTCTGCAGTGTCTGGATTCATGAATTAAAGACAAATTAAATGAATTAAGTGTGGAACCAAAAGGCCCCTGATGCCCAGAGCGAGATTGGAACACCACAGATATTAGGAAAGGGACAGTAAAAAAAATGAACCCCTTGGTTTTGAGGCATTCTAAGGAGCATGGATTGGTTTCATTTGGTGCATTCTCTGGGTTAAATTAGTCATCTACATAAACGTACATGTCCCAAAATTCCTGGCCTAGGGAGGGTTGTACAAAGTAACCAGCTCTATGGTGTAACTGGCCGACCCCTCTCCTGCTGCCTTGCAAGGTGAGACTGCTTGGGGAAATGCAGTAAGAAAGGCATCGCATCCTCCCTGTTTATTCAACCTATAGGGCAGGGGCTGGCCTAGCCCCGAGGGGCATCACACTCCGGGTGGAAGGCATTCAAATCGAGGTGACTTTGCGGCATTGAGACCACATGGAGGGGATCAGCAACCTGGGACAGGCCAGCAAACAGCTAGTTTGGACATGTTGAGGATTAATGTCAATCACATGAAAATGAGAAGGGAAAGACCCACCTTTTCCTGCATGAAGAAGAGGATTCCAGAGTAAGAAACAATGCGAACCTCTTGTTCGAAACGAGACACAGAGGAAAATGAACCTGGCATTTTGATTTCAGCATAACCTGTGCCATCAAAGTAAGCACTGTCACTGTCTGGGCCTTGAGTAGATTTGAACCTGTAACAGGAGCACAATAATTAAAGACAATGCTGTGGGAGACTGCTACAGCAGCAATCAATGCTATTGGTGAACGTTAGGTAGCATCTGTGGAGGGAAGAAACAGAGCCAACACATCAGGCCGATGACTTGTCATCTGTCGTACGGTCATCAATCTGCAACATTAACTGTGGCACGCCCTACAGAAGCTACCTGACCTGCTGAGTGTTTTCCGTAACTGAATTACAAATTTCGTGATTTACAATATTTTGCTTTTATTTACAAACACGGAACTGATTTCCATCTGTATAACTACCGGCTCCTTCAGGATGTGAACGTCACTGAATGCCGACTGATAGGGTATCATTCTGAGCTGTACTTTGGTAAAATCGAGTGTGAAATCAGGGGAAAGTATCACTTGATAATCAGCCACACCCTCGATTTCCAAGGTAAAGTGGAAGGGGTGGAATGGCCTGGTCCTGTTCCTATGACTCACACAAATACTTCAAACCTTAAAGCTGCAGTGTACAGGAATCCTCTAACCTACAATAAACTTTGTGATTTTGATCTATTTAAAATTTACAACAGGAACAGAGTTGAGTCAGAGCCACAAGCGGTGTTGACGAAGAGGAAAGAGGAAGGGAAGGGTGGGGGGTGAGGTGGGGGGGGGGGATAGGTGGGGAAAGGATGATAGAACATAGAACATTACAGCGCAGTACAGGCCCTTCGGCCCTCGATGTTGCGCCGACCTGTGAAACCAATCTGAAGCCCATCTAACTTAAACTATTCCATTATCATCCATATGTTTATCCAATGACCATTTAAATGCCCTTAAAGTTGGCGAGTCTACTACTTTTGCAGGCAGGGCATTCCATGCCCTTACTACTCTTGTGAGTAAAGAACCTACCTCTGACATCTGTCCTATATCTATCACCCCTCAAGTTAAAGCTATGTCCCCTCGTGCTAGCCACCACCATCCGAGGAAAAAGGCTCCCGCTGTCCACCCTATCTAATCCTCTGATCATCTTGTATGTCTCTATTAAGTCACCTCTTAACCTTCTTCTCTCTAATGAAAACAGCCTCAAGTCCCTCAGCCTTTCCTCATAAGACCTTCCCTCCATACCAGGCAACATCCTGGTAAATCTCCTCTGCACCTTTTCCAATGCTTCCACATCCTTCCTATAATGTGGCGACCAGAACTGTACACAATACTCCAAGTGCGGCCGCACCAGAGTTTTGTACAGTTGCAACATGACCTCATGGCTCCGAAACTCAATCCCTCTACTAATAAAACCGAACACACTGATGATGGTGGGGAGAGGGATGTTACCACATGTTTGAAATGACTGGTTGTGTTTTGAGAGCTTTCAGAGAGGCACGACAATGAATTATATAACCGTGGCCCCGCGGGCATGTGGCAGGGAGACGTCAAAATGGAGCAAGGAGGTGGGGGCCACACAGTGAGTTACCACCCCACCCCTTCCTGCTGCCAATCCCCTTTGGCGGCAGCAGCAACAGCAGAGAAAAAATGGCAGAGGAACTGCCCCACAGCCAAATTTCTGTTCTGGAAATGGCTGAGAAAACCTCCCCCCACACCCCTTTCTTTGTTGCAAGGCCAGAAATGCTGCTTAAACTCTTCGATCTGCACTCATCAGGACAAACACAAGAATGACAAATTTCCAACCGTCACAATCATTTACACCACAGGAGAAACGAGTAGCGATTGATGGGCAGGTTGTCATGGCAATGCCTCAGTCATCGAGTGGCTCAGTTTGCCTCAACCTCTGCCACCTCATTTATTGTTCACCTTCTCAGTCATGACAGCGTATCTCACTGTGGGGTGGAAATGTAGCTGCTCCCATTTAGCCAGTGGTAGCCAGGGGGAAAAACCCCTATCACTGTTTGACATGCGGAATACTTACAGGAATGGACATTTGTAACAAGGTGGGTTGGGGGGGAGGGCTTCATTTGGATATAAAAGAAATTAACTGAATCACCCCATTTCATTCCTGTTCTTACCTCCTGCAGGGCTCATCTGCTGTGGTGTTCAGATCAAACGTTTGGACCAGGTTGTACAGACTGATCACCTGTGCGTTCAGGGTTCCAAGTTCAATGCACCCTTTAAAGTTTGGATACTTCAAAGTTTCAGGAGGCTGGAAGAGACAGCAATGCTCTCATGAGTGGGAGGAACCTTCACCTTTGTGCATTATTTTTCCAGGCTCTCTTGAAACATACTAGGTTTTTGCATTTAACATTCTCTCACTAATGTTTAATAGTTAGTGAAGTCTTGAGGTTTATAAATGTTCCAATTCTTTCCAAAAACTTCGTTGAACTTTAGGCACTGTACAGTACAGCACAACATGAAGGGGAAAAGAATTAGGAGGGTTATAACTCACCACCGAAAACAGGTTTTTAAAAATTTATTCATTCACGGGCGGAGGGCATTGGTGGCCAGGCAGCATTTATTGCCCATCCCTAATTGCCGAGAGGGCAGTTACGAGTCAACCACATTGCTGTGGGTCTGGAGTCACATGTAGACCAGACCGGGTAAGGATGGCATTTTCCTTCCTTAAAGGGCATTAGTGAACCAGATTGGTTTTTCCCGACAATCAACAATGGATTCGTGGTCATCATTAGACTCTTAATTCCAGATTTTTTTTATTGAATTCAAATTTCACCATCTGCCATGGCGGGATTTGAACCCAGGTCCCCAGAGCATTATCTGGGTCTCTGGATTAACAGTTCAGCAATAATACCACTAGGCCCCACCTTCCCCTTGGAAGTGTTAAAGAGACGTTTGGAGTGAAGGGCAGTGTTGCACATTGAAGAAGTGGAGAGGGATCTTCTGTATCTATTCAACTGTGGCTAAGTTGGACGTACTCTCACCTCCAAGTCAGAAGATTATAAGAAATAGCAGATGATGACCATACAGTCCCTTGAGGTGAGCCAATATGATCGTGGCTGATCTAACTATGGCCTCAACTCTGCTTTCCAATCTGTCCTCACCCCTGGACATTCCTACAGATCAAGAGAATTATTCCAGAAGCTGACAGTCCTGTGCACTACAGGTAGGACGCTTCACTGGCAGAGGTGTGGTCCTCCAGTCAGAACATTAAACTGAAGCCTGTTTGCTCTGTCAGCTGGATATAAAGGATCTCTGGGAATTATTTTAAAGAGAAGCCCAAGATTTAGGCTGATATTCAGTGAACATCACACAAAAAAAAAAACAGATTGTCTGGTCATTATCAAATTGCTCTTTGTAGGACCTTTCAGGGCTGTGATTGGCTGCTGTATTATGGCAGTGGCTGCTCTTCAACTATGTACTTTATTGGCTGGAAGGCACTTTGAAACCATGCTGTGAAAAATGCTACATAAACGCAAGTTTTTCGTTTCTCACAGTTGACATCAATGGCTTGAACGTAAGGTGAGAAGGATGAGGCGTTTCTTAAACTGGACAAGGGGCATGTGTGAAATAATCGCAATTAATTGCAAAATTGTTACAGTGCAGAACAAAGCCATTAGGCTCGTTGAGTCAGCACCAACTCTCTGAAAGAGCATAGTGAAGTAGTGCTGTTCCCCTGCCTGTCACCCATAACCCTGAATATTGTTTCTGTTCAAATAATCATCTAATGCCATCGAGTACCTCATTTGAATCTGCCTCCACCATATTTCCAGACAGTAAGTTCCAGACTGAACCTCCTCACTGAAAAAGATGTCTCTAATCTTGCATTTTCTTCTACAAATTTACCTTGTATTCATGTTCAATGGAGTATGGTGCATGTGCGTGTGCAAGAGAGAGCATGTGTGTGCATGCACGCGTGTATGTATGTTTGTACGCATGTATACGTGTATGTGGGAAGAGTTAAAAAGTGAGAAGGTTTTAATCCTCTGACTGTTCCTGTGTAACTATCAGCTAAACTGAAGCAGAATCCGCCAAATTCACCGACTTTAATCGAATCTCTCTCTTGAACACAGGGGAGTTGCCCATTAGAGTCTTCAATATCCAGGACAATGCAACGTTTTAGATTCCACATGGTCCCAATGCACAACTCCAGTGTGCACTGTTCCATCGACCAATTCTTCCTCTAATTAACGTTCTCTGCTCTGCAAACTTCTAAGGTCTGTGCATGGCAGCAGCTTCCAAAACGGGAAGTCAATGCTCGGAATGGCATCGGCTCACCAATCCCTGTGCAGGGACCGCTCAGCAGATGTACACTTAGAGGTACGATACTCTGACCACCAGAATATCTGGGACCATGGTCCATTTGGCAGCACTTGATAGATGTGAAGCTGAAGTAGTGCAAGATCGTCACCTAGTGGCATCATTTACACTACAACGGTGATATAAACCCGAAACCACATCTGTGCAAAATATATTAATAAGGTATAACTACACTGGGAAAAGAAACGATATAAGAAAATAAATTTTAACAAGTAAGACAAATTGCCTGTTGGTTTCTGTGTCCAAAAATACACTCCTATCATAGGAACTTCTCAGTATCACTGAGTTTGAACAAACATTGTCAGATTGAAAGTAAGGAAGTCATGCTGAATCTGTATTAAAGTTTGGTTAGATCACACTTAACACCACATGCAGTTCCGATCTTCATGTTGGAAAAAAACAGTACAGAGGCACTGGAGAGGTTGCCGAGAAATTTTGCGGAGATGACATGAGAATACCTGAGTTTACTTATCAGAAAAGGCTGGACAGGTTGGTCTTTTATCCCCTGAAAAAATAAAGGCAGACCCAACGGAAGTCTTGAATACTGTATAAGGTTTTGACAGAGTAGATGAGAGAGAATGTTTCCACTTTTGGGCCAGTGCATAACCGCTGACTTATCAACGAGAGGTCAACGAGAAATTCAGTGAGGAAATCAGATGAAACTTCTTCTTCCAAAGAGTGAAAAGATGGCAGGAGGAGCATTTGAAACAATATATGGTCTTGTTGTGTTGAATGGCCGATTTCTGCCTGTCCTATGCAAATTCACCACTAGAGGGCAAATAATGGCCAGAATAACTCGATGGTGAAAGGTGTCTGTGATTTTCTGAGGAAGATGCGATGATTGCCCCTTCCTCAATGAAGTTAGATATAATGTTCCACCCAAAAAACAAAAAGAATAACAACTTTATACTTACAGTGAATTCAGACGGGTAGCCACCAACATAAAACACAACATTCTCAGGGCTGAGATTCAGTAAGGCAGCATTGCCTTTAGCAAATCCATTTCCTTTGGTTTCAGTGACAGTGCCTTTTTCAATACTGTATGAGATTTGGCCATATTGTAATATCCTGCAGAGGGGAAGAGTGGTGAATTAAAGACAAGTTGGAAATAACTCCAGCTGTGTCAGCCTCCATTGTGTGGGAAACATCCCATTTCAGTGTCAGTCCTCTCTACATTCAGTCACAAAAAGCATGCTGTCTTTTGTTAGGGAACTTTTTTTTTAATTCATTTACAGGATGAGGGTGCACTGGCTAGGCAGCATTTATTGCCCATCCCTAATTGCCCTGAGGGCAGTTAAGAATCAACCACATTGCTGTGGGTCTGGAGTCACATGTAGGCCAGACCAGGTAAAGGTGGCAGTTTCCTTCCCTGAAGGGGATTAGTGAACCAGATGGGTTTTTCCAACAATCAACAGTTGATTCACAGTCATCATTAAGTCCAGATATTTTGTTGGATTCAAATTCCACCATCTACCATGGCAGGATTTGAACCTGGGTCCCCAGCATGTTGTCCGGTCTCTGGATTAACAGTCCAGCGATAACACCACTAGGCCACTGCCTCCCCATAGCTATGTCATAGCTAACTGCCTGGAAATGAATGTCACTGATATCCACAGATGTGCACATATCATGGTAATATCACACCCATCTGGAGTTTATTTCAACACCCAATCTAGCCCTTTCTTAAAAAATCTTAAGCCCGCTATTAAATCAGAAAGGAGTGATAATTATTCCAGCTCATTAATTGCTCCTACACTGATCCCAACAGTGATTTCCAGGCTTGAGTGATGGAAAAAGCAGAGAAACAACTTATGTACCTCTCCAGCTTGACGGTGTCAAATCTATCACCGCTGACATCAGAGTCTGCCTGCAGAGTGGCCTCCTCGCTGCCCAGTTTGTAAACCCACACCAGTTTACCATTCTTCATAGCAACGCCCATGTAATCCCCGTGAGGCTACAAAGGAAGAGCTCCTGTTAAAACCTTTGAATACAATCGTCTGAAAAGAAAAATCGACAGCTCATCGTTCTTACATTTTGTCCGCCAAGGTACAGAACAAACTGATTGAAGGAACTCGTGGCTTGCTTTCTCTTCCGTTTCTGAGCTTGTTCTCTTTGAATGTAGAACGTCAGAGAGGTGTACGCCCTCAGGTCATCAGGGTTGCTAGGCGATCGTACCTGCACACCTGAAGTGCCATTGAATTTCATTGGTACCTTGACCTGAAGAGGGAGGAAGAGTTGTTTGGAACGTTATTAGATGCTGAAGGTTTGAGCATGTACCACCTTCCTCTTCATTTCCTACAAATATTTGTACACTTGAGAGTTCATGCTGTTGTTTCAAACTGTGAAAATGGTAGCACCAAAGGCAAGGCCCCAAGGAGGCAAACCCAAACTTTAATATCCATACGCTTCCAACCTTCCCTGAGCAGAAAAGTTTACAAAATCTTGCATTGTCCTCTGTCAGTTGTCCTTTATCGTCCTCCTACCCTCCACATACCCCAGACAACCTACCTCAGCTGGATTCCATTCTTTCACAATGTGATCAGCGCATCTCCTACAATCTCTCTCGTCTCCTACATCCACAAGGCTAACCCTAGAGCTCCCCCACTTCCACCTTTCATCATGTTTGATTACTCTGTTGTTTCTCGCAACCTGATGACACATCCCAGTTTCCAGACATGTCCCAACAACAGTCAAGTTTTATCTCCTCATTAACCCTCTGCCTCTACAGCAGTTACTCTGCTGTCCAACATCAAATGATGGCTGGAGCAGTCTCACTTCCTCCCAGCAATATAGAGGAGCCTAATAGCGGCAGGACCAAAGGCCATTCTGTTCAGTTTTGTAATCCTGGTATCTTAGATACTTGTAAATCCAGACAAGTAATATGTTATTCATACATTTATGGTTTTATCAAATTATGTGTATTGTAAAATTTTTTTTGACTCATTCACGGGATGAGGGCGTTGCTGGCTATGCCCAGAAAGCAGCTGACAGTCAACCACATTGCTGTGGGTCTGGAGTCACATGTAGGCCACACCAGGTAAGGATGGCAGTTTCCTTCCCTGAATGGTATTAAGGAACCAATGGGTTTTTCCACATATGACAATGGCTTCATGGTCATCATTAGACACTTAATTCCAGATTTTAAAAACTGAATTCAAATTCCACCATCTGCCATGGTGAGATCTGAACCAGAGTCCCCAGAACATTCCCTGGGTCTCTGGATTAACAGTCCATTGGTAATACCTGCAGGCCATTGCCTCCCCCTGTGGATATCCCTGTGGTGATACAATTTGTTCCTGTTCCAGGGCTTGATGGAGATTGGAGTGTATGTCTCCTGAACTGTAAAATGGAAGTTCACCTTAAATCCTCAGTAACCTACTTCATTATTTGCATTTTCCATTCTCTCCTCCTGTACTCGAGAAAAGCAGAGGGCAATTTTCTACATCAATGAGAGGGGACAGTACAAAGGCATCCAGTGGAATGCTTAATGGCATGACAAATATTTTGAGTTGAGCTTTGCAAAGAGCAGTGTGATTTATTATATGAGGTGACTTATTGTTTAGATATTAGACTTTGGAACGTCTCTGGGGTGTTTTTGTGCAGAGTTATACCATTCTGGCTTTGCATTTGGTAAATCTAGAAGCATGCACGATTTTATTACAGGGTGTCATGCTGCAACAAATCACTTCTCAAATATGCCTGGCCCTCACAAGTTCAATGTGGTAAGTGAATATCAGTGTAACGCAGTACTTTTTAAAGACACATACATCATTTTTGTAATTAGATACTATTCAATACTAGCAGCGTCTCAAGCTAAATTGTACACTCAATAATTTCACTTGAAAAAATGTTTTCAACCCTGCAACCTGAAGCATTATGGTCATTTAGTTCTGCAGCTCAGGAATTTTACAACTAACTGATCACAGACAAAACTGTAAAGCATTGTCACAAAGCAACCACCAAACCACAATACAAGAGACAGTAATTGATTTGATGGAAAACCATCACACGTACTCGGGTACAGTGTTGTCTTATGTGCTTTACAGGCAGATCGTACTACACAAGTGCATCAGGGTAACAGGGCATTTAAATTTTAATAATTCTGTAACGCTAAAAAAAAATCCATTGAACACTTGCCTTGTTGGCAGCATTTCTGGCCTGGGAGATCAATACCCGAATGCGATCAATGCTTGCAGAAATATTTGACGTCTGGTTCCGGACTTCCAGTTTATTTAACTTATCCAGGAGAAGTGGGATGGTTTCATTCAGAGCTGCCACTGTTGGAGGGATACAAGGAGACACAAAAGCTTTCAGAAAAAAAAAGAAAACGACCCTCCAAAGTTGCTCTACGCAACTAACCTGCTGCTGGGACCCAGAATCACTTTTAACATAGATAGAAGGATGATTTTCTTCAGCTTTTGCACCCAATTTGAACTTTGTGTAGGCAAAAGGTTGAGGGTAAGCGTTGCCCTTCCTCACTGGGAATCCCTACTCCCCAAGTGGAGAATACATCATAGACAGTGAGCACATCCAGTTCGCAATCTCCCCACTCCTCGCCCATTAATTTTGCTCACTGTAAAATTGGGAATGACAAGAATTATGTGGCAGATGCCTTCATTCATGTTTTTCAAATTTACTGTCCCTTCTGTGCTGGAGTACAGTTGGCAAAGGTACTCTTAAACATGACTGATACCTACTTTCAACTTGAGGTACAGTCCCTGCTTTAGAATCTTTGGCACAAAAACAAAGTTGCTGGAAAAGCTCAGCAGGTCTGGCAGCAACTGTGAAGAAAAAAAATCAGAGTTAAC